GGGGACCCTGCCCGGAGCCGATGACTCAATAGTCTGACCTGCTCGGCTGCAGGGGGTTGGCCTAACCCGAGGGCGCAGGGAATAAGGCATTACTGTCTCATTCCTAATGCGACTGCGCACAGCAGGTGCCTTTTGAGCGGCACCGGGCTCTTTGGTTTTAAAAGTATTCCGACCGTATCGGATAATGCGCCGGCGGTCACGGTCAACCGTTGGGCGATTGAAGTGTGCGGTTTTTGGGGCCGACCTTTTCTAACCCGTCCTTCCTCGGGGGAAGGCAGCATCGCTGCTTCCATAAATTTGGACATGCTGGTCGCCTGGCGGAAACACCTTACTGGCTTCACACTCCTGTCGCAGAGGACAGTGCGACTTTACCCCCAGACCGCCTCGTAGCACGATTACTCGTAGTACGTGGTCTCGCCGCTCTTGGTCTGGCTGCTCCCCTTTGGCCTTCCTTTGCACCTTGTGGAACGAAGTTCCAGCCAGTGTAGCCCGCGGGATCATTGCAGCACTGAAGCCCGACCACCACGTCAAGGTGGCAGCATTGGGTCGGGAGATACAAATAAATCTCTGATGATGGATGCTCTTCTTCAAAACTACACTAACTTATGGGCGGCGAGACAGGATAAATTTTATTTGACGTTATAACTGCAGTGTTCAAGCTAACCAATGGCAGCATTGGGTCGGGAGATACAAATAAATCTCTGATTTGTGATGCTCTTCTTCAAAACTACACTAACTTATGGGCGGCGAGACAGGATAAATTTTATTTGACGTTATAACTGCAATGTTCAGGAAAGCTAACCAAATACTACACATGCTTATCTTTCTCTGAACAGTGATCTCTAAATTTTTTTCAGACCATAGTCGAACGAAATTCCTAACTACGTAGCATAGAAAAAAGGGTTGCAGAAGTCCTATCCTAATAATGAATTCCTTGTTTTGTCCACCATGAGTTCAAAGGGAGAAGAAACTCTATTATTTGGCGTTTTCATATCCATGAGTTTTGCGCTCTTTCAGGCGGCATAGTAGGCTGAATAGTATCAAGACATGAGAATTTTCCATGCTGTGGAGCTAAAAAGACTTTATTGCGCGACTTATTTTGTACGGCCAAATTTTATACCGCCAAACAAAATTGCGCTGTAAATAGTTAAAGACGTTCTACAGTTTGAAATCTCTCCTAGTCAGCAAAAAATCACAAATTTCTTTATCAATTTAGGCTACCCAGTGGAATATGACATATTCAACTCTGTTGAAGAATATACACGCATTAGAGGGACTTCAAAACAGGTCCTCCCACGAACCCTTTGGAACCTGGTGTGAAATTTTCACTCAATTGTAGGTAGATATGGAATTTGTATGATTCAATCACTTATTTTAACAGTCAACCTGTCCTGATACATCCGGTCCGCTCAAACGTGAACGTTAGTTACGAATGTGAAATCTGCAGGTCCATCAGTCACCTTCAGCTTGTCAAAAACAGTTGGTTGATCTCCTTACCATTGGTTTCGCTCCTATTCACAATGAGCTTTATATTTACAAGCGCACACAGTTACGACTACTTAAGACTTTTGAACCTACTTAAGCTCCTCGAAAAAAATACCCTGGATTTCTTTAGCGTGACATTCATTATATTTATGACTACAACACTGAATACCACCGACTGCTACCAAGCTGACTGGTTCTGATTCAAATTTGATGAAATCTAATCAGGTCATTGATTGCTAGCCCTCCTTCCTACGTAGAATGTAAAATAAAAATTCACTCTTTAATTTTTCTCATGGAAATATTTCCATAAGACACTTTTGACGGACCGAACTAGGCATGCGCGATGCACTCAGAAAGAACCATCTGCTGCGTTGATATTTATATGTTTTACTCATCAACTGATCTCATTACTCTTGGATGCACATAAACAATCCTATTGGTTTTTTGACGTAAGGTTGCTGGAAGCTTTTTGACGATCCACGACCAATTGCACCCTTTTACATGTTCATGAGTTAGGTGCAGGTCTTGAATTTCCGTCAACCTTATGTGCCATTGGAAACCAATTGAGATACAGTTCACGCATCTGCAAACCAATCGGGTCTTAACCGAAGACCCAATTGATTCCAAGCTGAACCTCCTAATTATCACTTGTCCAACTAAACGCACTGCACAAAGACTGCCTCCTGTTTCAGTTGATACAGTGTTCTAGACGTAGCATGCTACTCCTGATGTTGCTGAAAACATTTGAGGAATGTCACAAATAAAGAATCCAGCTGAGATTCATTTGAATTTCTCCTTGAAACTAAATAAATTTAGCAATAAATGTGCTAACCACATCCCATTGTTTTTTCATCTTAATCCATTTTCATCCGCATGAAGCCAGTAAGCCCTTGTATCCTGAATATCGTATCGAGTACGTAGATTTGTAGTTGGATGGGGAAAGCCGAAAACGAACTATTTTTAGAGCATATGGATCGTTCCACCACAAAGCCAAGGAATTTCGTTCCATGTAGACTCTGACAAACACCGTCGTAGGTCAACCGAATACGTGATCCAGCAGATTACATACATTTTGTCTATTCGGCGGGCTTAATAAACGGTTCTAGAGTGAACAGAACAAACAGCTGTTACGCATCACAAGCACAACTTACCGCTCCCTGGAATAGATTTATCCGTTTTGAGAGTTTCTGCCTTCAACTCCGCAAATATTCGATCAGCCTCCAACCGCAGTCTAATAAGATCTTCGGGGCTGTGAGCATCCGTAATGCAGTCTTTTCTGTATTTTTCTTGCATAATACGCTTCTTCCAAGACCTTTCCAAAGTAGAAGCCAGCGTATCTTGATGTCCGAGTGGGTCGCACTGGGTTCGTTTCACAGAACAAACGAAATGATTATTGTTGTTTCTTTGGGTTTCAGGGCAAGTTTCCTTTTTTTCGATGACACGTTGATCTTCGCTTGTTGGCTTATTCCCCCGATTCTTTGGAAAGAGGTTGAACGTATTGGGGACAGGAATATGGAGCAAAGTTAACATTAAAACGGAAGTCACTTTAAGTACGGCATGCGTTATGACTCTCGAGGAGACTAATAATAATAACTAAGAAAACAAGAAAACGATGTCAGTGTCAACCGCAATCATATCTTTCCGCAAATTCACTTGAGCTGCAAGTGCTTGTGGTAACAAAAAATATATTTATCTGAGAAATGCTCAAAAAAGAGCAAAAACTAGTCGGTGATTGCCCGAGGGTTTTCGACAACCTCAAGAATAATATTCTGTTACTGTGGTATTCAAAATAACTTACCAACTGAAATGTGATTCGGCCTTAATGCAATACATTCAGTTAAGGAATATCATAAATGAAAGACTTAGTTGATCCCCCTTAACAAACTTTGCAAAAGAGTTCATTTTTCCAACAGAATATCTCTCCTGGTGCCTTCAAGGACCTCAAGTAATGATTGTAGACTATACTTTAAGATAGATATTGGACAAACGCATGATCCGATTTGTTCAGCTTCTGACCGGCAAAGATGTTTTACGCACTAATTTAGTACATGCAAGCTAACTTAGGGGATACGGTGGTGCATGTTAGACTTTATACTTACCCCTGAGAGATCACTGCGCCTTGTAAAATAGGCACAGGCCACTTTTCTAACCTTATCCGTGTTGCCTGCGAATTCAAATGTTCATCAGATATCACTTGCATAATTTTTCCGGTCTTGAGACTTTTTAAAAAGATCTGAAAACACCGCCCTCATCCTGCTGAAAAGTAGCTGATTCATTCAGGACTCTATTTCAACCAAAATAGTTGACACCGGACATGTAGTTAATCGTGGTGCAACACATTCAGCACTAACCGGAAAACCTGTCCAAACCGAACAGTCCAAGTATATTCTCCACTGCCAAGGTTGCTACCTTCCGATTTCTTCTCCATAGTCCTGTTTCAGGAAACGGCCTTCAAACCCTTTTCCATCTAAGTGATCCATTTCGTCTCTCAGTCTCTCAAAATCACTAACACAAACAGCTGTATGCGACATTGTTTTCAGTAAATCTGTTTGATAAACGCTCGTTTGCGAATTAACCTGATGTCAACCGGAGACTCAAATTAACTCCATCTGAATCCCTCGTTTACGACGTTCTTTAACGGAATGCGCTCCGCATTGGCATCTGTATGTCCAATTTAGAAGGCGATTCTCTGTAAAGAAAGGTCAACGGAGACTATGGATTGCCGACGAAGGACTTCCATCTTGCATGAACCCATCTGGTAGGCCTGAAACCCAAGTCTCGGTCAACCCGATTCCAGCTTATATGGTTGTTGTGATATGTCTCCGTTGGTGGAAACGCAGCTGAATCATACAAGTGTCCCTCCGCCCACAACTCCAGTCGACTTTGAGAGAAGTATTGAAAACTTGTGTTCTCCAATCAGCTTTATCTTTAATTGTGTATGAAGACAAGCGCATTATAACCTTGGTAACAGAGTGAATAACTGCCATCCTCAGGGCACGGACTCCGCAAAACAAACCTTGCATGAAATAACTCGAATGTGTCATGGAATTCTTTTGCCTTTGTGGGTGTGATACAAAGAGTACTTCTTCCGCACACTTCTTTTGGTTCTTTTCTAGAAAGCACCTATCTCCGGAAGTGAGAGCAGTTTGGTTCGGCCATGAGTGTTGCCGCCAGTACTGGACAGGGGTGAAAACGACATTTCAGTTTTACTCGTGTTTTACAGTGCACACGTCCTTGGAGGAGTGAACTCACCTTTCAGACGCTCTGCCGAACTCAGTTGGTGTGATTTGCATCCAACCGCATAATTTAGACCATAAGGAAGATATTCTGAGAGACCACTGAAAAAACTAGAAATATTTTCAAGGCAGCTGATGGCATTACATGTTTACACTGAGCGTGCAAAAGTGATGGGTGGTGCCCGCGGAACGTCTGCCAATTTACTGGAACGAAACACCGACTATACTCCACTTGCCTGAGGGACGACCGTTATTCAACAGCAACTGTTTACCATCAATATTTTTCAGTTCCACCTTAATTTTATCAAAACTCAAAAGGAATTGATTCTGTAGATAAGTTTGAAAACATAAGGCACTTGATTTGGAGTCAGCTCATTCCACGTCATTAAACTTTAATGCGGTATTTATGCAGATCAATTGGAAAATCCGACAAGTGATGTTTGGTAAAGATACTTATACCATCAATCAAAATAGACACGTGACAATGAACTCGAGAAAACTGGATGAACCATAATTTGTATTGTGGAATATAGGTAGATCGCATTGTTGTTCTGTTGGTCAACTTTTGTCTTGTCTACTCCGAATGCCAAGCTCGGCGAACAGGTCAACAACCAAAGCTTGACTAAAGCATAGGTCAAGGCTGAAGCACGTTGCACTAGGAAAAAGCTGCTTTGGGCGGGTCATGTAAACTACAATCAAGTATTTCAAATCGTTCTTGGTTGCGGGATTATTCCAGTGTATCCTAAATGCGAACGAAGAATGGATGATGAAGAGTGGATGATGAAGAATGGAAGATGAGCTGCAAGCTTAATAAAAAATTTTCATGCCCTAAGCAAGATCAGTCTTTGTGAGAAGTCGAAAAGTACCGCATAGCTCTTTCACGGTCACTGGGAATAATCAGCAATGTTCACCTTACGAACTTACAGAGAGATCCGAACTTACAACCTCCTGGCTAGTAGTGGAAGACTAGATCGTTTGGACACCAGCGGCTGATTAGAAGGATAGCGCCGCTCATCGACCACTCACGTGGCAAACGTTGACTAGCTCCTCAGATGACGACTTATCAAATAGAAGGCTAACATGACTTGTGAATTATTCTTCCTTCCGAACTGCTTAGAAACTCACTTCCACATCACTTTCGTTCGAACAGTCCTTCTGTCCTGGCATAATGTAGGAAAGCACTGGACTCCCGTTTTGCTCTTGTCAGCGCACATCAGCTGTGCGTACATTTGGTCGAGCACGGGTTTGAACTCTGGTCATTTGAGCCACGGACATTTTAAAATCTTGTAGGAAATCTTTGGTTAGTTGTAGGTGGTCGCGGTATTAGTAGAAGTCGAATTCACACCACTTGGAAACTTTTTATAATAAGATGAAATCTGAAGGTTCATAGATGAAGTCTCGCCTCTTATATGAAAAAAATTTGCACCTGCACAAAGTAAAGTGGACCGAATAGGCTGAATTGGGGAAACTAATAATTGTGTTAATCGACCAACTCACCAGGGAATTACCAGAAAGTGCAGACACGAAACGCACATGTGCAGAGAACTACACGCCAAAAAAGTCAACATCTGCACCGCACGAATCCCAGAGCATGTGCGTTGGCGGAACTTACCAAGCACGGCTTAGCAGAATGCGGACAGCGGAGTGGATGTGAAATTGTTTATAGAAATATTTTCAAGGCAGCTGATGGCATTACATGTTTACACTGAGCGTGCAAAAGTGATGGGTGGTGCCCGCGGAACGTCTGCCAATTTACTGGAACGAAACACCGACTATACTCCACTTGCCTGAGGGACGACCGTTATTCAACAGCAACTGTTTACCATCAATATTTTTCAGTTCCACCTTAATTTTATCAAAACTCAAAAGGAATTGATTCTGTAGATAAGTTTGAAAACATAAGGCACTTGATTTGGAGTCAGCTCATTCCACGTCATTTAACTTTAATGCGGTTTGAAACATGCAGTATTTATGCAGGTCAGTTGGAAAATCCGACAAGGTATGTCTTTTAAAGATACTTAAATCATCAATCAAAATAGACACGTGACAATGAACTCGAGAAAACTGGATGAACCATAATTTGTATTGTGGAATATAGGTAGATCGCATTGTTGTTCTGTTGGTCAACTTTTGTCTTGTCTACTCCGAATGCCAAGCTCGGCGAACAGGTCAACAACCAAAGCTTGACTAAAGCATAGGTCAAGGCTGAAGCACGTTGCACTAGGAAAAAGCTGCTTTGGGCGGGTCATGTAAACTACAATCAAGTATTTCAAATCGTTCTTGGTTGCGGGATTATTCCAGTGTATCCTAAATGCGAACGAAGAATGGATGATGAAGAATGGATGATGAAGAATGGAAGATGAGCTGCAAGCTTAATAAAAAATTTTCATGCCCTAAGCAAGATCAGTCTTTGTGAGAAGTCGAAAAGTACCGCATAGCTCTTTCACGGTCACTGGGAATAATCAGCAATGTTCACCTTACGAACTTACAGAGAGATCCGAACTTACAACCTCCTGGCTAGTAGTGGAAGACTAGATCGTTTGGACACCAGCGGCTGATTAGAAGGATAGCGCCGCTCATCGACCACTCACGTGGCAAACGTTGACTAGCTCCTCAGATGACGACTTATCAAATAGAAGGCTAACATGACTTGTGAATTATTCTTCCTTCCGAACTGCTTAGAAACTCACTTCCACATCACTTTCGTTCGAACAGTCCTTCTGTCCTGGCATAATGTAGGAAAGCACTGGACTCCCGTTTTGCTCTTGTCAGCGCACATCAGCTGTGCGTACATTTGGTCGAGCACGGGTTTGAACTCTGGTCATTTGAGCCATGGACATTTTAAAATCTTGTAGGAAATCTTTGGTTAGTTGTAGGTGGTCGCGGTATTAGTAGAAGTCGAATTCACATCACTTGGAAACCTTTTATAATAAGATGAAATCTGAAGGTTTATAGGTGAAGTTTCGCCTGTTATATGAAAAAATTTTGCACCTGCACAAAGTGAAGTGGACCGAATAGGCTGAATTGGGGAAACTAATAATTGTGTTAATCTACCAACTCACCAGGGAATTACCAGAAAGTGCAGACACGAAACGCACATGTGCAGAGAACTACACGCCAAAAAAGTCAACATCTGCACCGCACGAATCCCAGAGCATGTGCGTTGGCGGAACTTACCAAGCACGGCTTAGCAGAATGCGGACAGCGGAGTGGATGTGAAATTGTTTACGGCAGGAACGTCGCTGGACAGGACGAACAAGCGAATGACCATAATAGGCCCTTTAGCCATCCTATATATTTATACAAAACCTCTGTATGTTTGTCCTGACAATACGGCAATATCCCGGATTCGGTCTTCTTCTTACAGGGTAGTCGGACAATCTCAGTACCGGCGTAACCAACAGATGGTCACCCACGATACAACAGGAAGGAGGGGATTTCTGACTGGCCCCTACTCGGACCTTGCCGATCGATGTCCATGGCCATTGCAACATGTATCACCTGACAATTTATACAACCAAATTATGCTGATGACTAAAGTTCTCCTGTATTTGTTTGTCACGGCAAAACATGATGAAGAAGGAATTCATCACATCGCGCAACGTTTGATATTTAGCAATTGTCAGTATTGTCAGTAACGTCGCTCTTTCACTTCAGAAAAACCCACGGTCCTGGCTTCGCTGAATAAATAAAGCTACTAACTCCGTGGAACAAAACATGGCAGGATAACCTTTGTGTTTGAATTTAGACGGGTACGTTTTACTTGAGTTTTCATCATCACAGCGTGAAACACCAAGCAATTTGTCCGAGAAAGTGTTAGTAATATTGAGTAATGGGATGATCCAAACTTCTTAGGATAACAGGTTCCTACTCTCACTGAATAAAGTGGGAAGATTTTTTGTCTACATGTTTCGCTCGCAGATTTCAAGCAGACAACGCCCCATTGCTGTGCAATTATTAGTCAGACTATGTTAACCGCCCGCTTTTCGTTTGGTCAGAATTGATACGAATGAAGAAAACTCACCGGAGCATTTGACGGGATTTCTTTTTCAACTGAGGTATCCAAAGAACTTAGTGAGTCGGCTTTTGCACCATTCAAACTGGTCCGATACATCGAATTATTTCCAGGGTCATCCGATCGCCGAAGGTACGAATCGGCTGTCTCCAGGACCCTGGTTGCTGAATTGTGTGATGGCTCCACGGAGACATCGTTTAGACTGTTGCTCACATTCGACTTTGCTTGCATCTTCTGATGAACGAGATGGTGACGTCGGGGTCGTTCACTATGAGACACGTCAAAAGCACAGCTTTCTGGCTGACTGGATGTTTTACTGTCCTCCGTGCCAGCGTTAAAACGATGCACCAGAACACACAGCTGCTGCAGATGCCTCCGTAACTGATCCAGGTTCATGCTACTGGTCAGTGGTTTGCCACCATCTCTAACAAATAGACCAGAAATGAACCAAAGCTTTGGTATCATTGCGTAGTAGTCAAAAGAGAAGTCGAAGTTAACAGGAAAATTGTCGTAAACGTTGAAAGAGAATAGAGCTCCCTCTCCGGTTAGAATTTGCCTAAGATGCACAGTGAAATCAATACATGAATTTAACGCTAGAGAGACTGAACACTTCCATCTGTTATCGTACTGTTGCATGCTACCGAGGAATATCGGAAAGAGAGATTTGGGGTTTTTAGCTTGTAGCATCGCATCCGCAATCAGCCTTGGTAGTACTGTTTTATTAGTCTGTGTTTCTTCGTTAGGAGAAAAGTTCAAACGAAGATTTCCCTACCTCCTCAGATAAACGGATACGCTAATGATGAAAAATGGCAATTCGTTGGTCTCTGTACCATGATGAAACTGAAGTCGGTTTGAAGGCATCATTTGCGGTGCTGTAAAATTCCGTATATTTTTGTATGGGGTGAGGTGGCTCAGCGGTTCGAACCCGACCTCTCTATGTCGAATTTCTCTGTCTAGAGTTCGTCAACTGGCCCTCATTCTTCCTTAGAGTGGCTACGCACCGAAAGGGTGCTATAGCTGAAAGATTAGTTATTATTATACTTCTGTGTTCAAGGGATACAGTAGAGCGCTAGCAAAGCAGTCACGTGACGTGTTGCTGACGAACTATATTAAACAGTCTTGAGGGTGTTTGTAATATACTACTCATAAGGTTGAATATTCTTCGACAGCGCACGATCGGTTTCGTCATTCTTAGGGCTCATCAGGTAGGCGCAGTCCCCGAGTTGCCGTCAACCTTATTGTTCAATTGGAACCAAATTTTGAACCAGATGAAACAGTGAACATGACGGTTTTGCATTCTAATCAGTTTTGACCTACTTTGATGTTTCATTTCGTCATAGGCTTATGCTTCTTGTGATAATATTTCATCCTTAACAGTTTAAGTGGCAAACTCTTCTCAGTGTATTTGTTTGCACTTGTGACAGCGTACTTTACTAACCACAAATCCAAGTGTATTGCATATTAAGAAATGGTATTCTCACGTCGATTAAAATGAAGCGTTACATTTGGCCTTTATTTTCTACAACAACTTGATGGGGACCTGGTGAAGGACATATCGGAGAGATAGTCCGGATGAACTGGAGAAACTTGCCTGCATTACAACCGCACCTTTGGTGAAATGCAATCCGAAGGTTACTGAGGTGGTCGTCAGACCGAGTGTACGTGGAAAGCTTAGTGTCCCATCCGTAGCTAGTGCGGTCTAAACACCTGATGTGACGAAAAACTGTGCAAGTTGGACTGAAACCGTCACGCTGATTGTAAGGTTGGAATTCCTCCAAAAATGGCACTTTTCCTAAGTGGATCGCTTTGCTTCCATCTCGTCGTTTCTAGGATAAATCTTTTTTAATCCTCAGAAGCCGCCCTAGACAAAACCTCGCAGGGTCCGTCATCTGGTGCAAGCAGTCGGCTGAAACAGTCACGCTTACAATGCCACCATACTTAATGTCAATTGCAACAATTATAATCTCTTCTAAAGCATAAAGAGCATAACCTGACTGGAGGCGATTGCTACTGACCTTTGTAAGAGCGTTAATTGACAGTCCCTTGAATCGACAACAACTCAGAAGTGAAAAGGGCTCTCTAAAACAAATTACTTATTCCACACCCATCCTTCAACACTTCGTTGTGTGTAAACACGCAAACATAGTGCAGAGCCATTCATCTTGGCTGCTAACTGTTGGAAGTCGCTAAGGAGTTTCACCGTTTCATTGATACATGAACAAAACACATCTCGCAAACCCTACAACATGCATCTACAAAGTTGTCCAGCGTGTTTCAAGCGTCTGTGGCGCTACCTGAATGGGAAGTCTTGACAAGCGGGTCAGTCGATCGTCACAACCAGCGCAGTTACTGGGTTGTCGCATAGATGAGTCGGGCATACCAATCACATCGCTCAAGTGTAAACAGGTTCGCCCGTTCAGACGTGCGAATTCAGATGCGTCCAATGTGCTCTGGTGGAATGGTGATAACACGTTCGCTTCGCATGTCAGGTATCCGGAATTCAACCCCCGGCACGGCCACTGGATATGCTCTGCTGATTTCGCTCTAATAAGAGCGAAACTCGAGTCCACTGCTTCTTCCCCCTTTGCTGTGGATTCACCAGAATAGTTTCACTATTTTCTTGAGCAGAGTTGTCAAAAGAAAAATCAACCTGAAACCGGTTTTTATTACATCAAATGAGGCAAATTGGTACGATCAGTCAGGCTGTCAGCGCACTGACGTGGTAATGGCAGTCTGATTCAACCTAGGTGCCCTATGGGCTTCAAGATTGGCCTATTATCAAAAAAATCAGCAGTCGATTGCGCTCATTTCAAATGAAGCAGTGGTTCGGATGAGTACCACACCTTTATTCATAAGAATCAAAGTGTATCATCGAAAGACGATGGTTCTTGGATATGAAACGATTCATCAAGGTGACAATAGGTAGTGATAAATTAAGTTGCAAATTAATTGGACAATAACGAGTTATTCGAACGAATCTCGGATGAATCTTTTTCAATGATAATAATCGGATGTCTTCAAAGTGGTGCCATATGAAATATGAGACGGCTTTTGTACAGGGTATTCAAAAGAGCTACTGATTTACCTTCAGAGCAATTTTCAGACAAGTGTAGCTAACCATCTGCACACAATTAAGGTGTTCAAGTGCAACATATGGGTCTTGAAAACTTGAGAACTGCACAGATCTAATAAGTAGCAAAAGGGGTGAGACCGATAGTGTGTGGTGAAAGTTTTTGTTACCCCTTTTAAGCAGCACGTTATATCGATTATGTCAATGAGTTAGGATGTAGATTGGCACCAGCCTCTCAGTACTGAAAGTTATTCATTCTACACTATGGCCAGAAAGCAAGTCCACGAAGTTGCACTTTTATGGTCTCCACTGTTATGAAATTTACAAAGCTGACTCGAGGAACAGAAAACAAACAACCATTTTTGAGCAGTTAAATACTAGGAATTTCTTTTGAAGTTTCAAAATTCTGTTGTAGTGCCCTTCCGAGTAACCTACCTACCTCGATTCGGACTTATACACAATTTCAAGGGCAAAATGTGAAATGTCATATCACATACATCACTTGACGTTAACTCGATTTGGATATCAGGAATGTCGCAAGAAATTTGTTTGTACGTTACGTTTACTGATCGTTCTCCTTGTAAAATGCCGGAGTCATTACGCTTTGGGGATAACACCGCGATGCAGTGTTGGTTCCTTCCGAGAAAAGCATCACAAGACTGATCACACCATCAAAACAATCAAATGAAAAGCTACGCGATCCTCGTCTAGGTTTCCCGACAAAACAACTGTAAAATACCTACCAACTTACGGATTCGACTGTAATGTACCGAGGATAGGTTGGACATATCTTACAAGTTCATTCAATTGTTCCATAACTTCTGCGTTCATTGGCGTCCCTGGTGAAACGCGATCACCGGCGTCTAGAATTTGCTGAGAAATAAAAATGTGGAAAATAGTGAGCAAATTTTCCAGTAGATTACCTAATTTGACTGAGCAACAAACAATCTAAGTTGTGAGAGTAAAAGTGTCCATTTGACTTTTTAATTTGCTTCCGAATAGTACGATTCAACTGCTGAGGGTGCACATGATGTGCAAGTATCCTGTGCCCCTTGAATGTCGGTACTGTTAGCGCTACGGTGCCCACTAGGGTTGAAAGATGTGAGAAATGTACTTCAATGAAACTTAAAGCGCCGCAGCGACATCCCAAAAATTGTTGAGTTGGGTTTGTTTATGCATATTCACTTGTGTTTTTATTTGGACAGGTACGCTCAAGAATTTCAGTTGTTTTCAGTTCTGTGCAAAAGAGGTTATTCTTGTTCCCGATGACTTGTAGCAGTTCTGCTACAGTAAAAATTCCTCATTCCAAGGTTTTCTTGCCTTCATAAGAGCCCTTAGAGTTTGCATTTCCCAGTGTTTTGATTATTTTTAAGGTATATACCTCAAGTCTCATTTTCGTCTTTTTTGCGGCTCATTCGATGGACGTGGCTGATGTACACAGGATGATAATTGCAGCATATCGGTTATTTGGGTTGTCTAAGCAGTTGAGGGTAAATGCCACTTGTACAACCCAGAAAGCAAGAGCTCCGAAAGGTCAGTCAATGGCAAGTTCTTCAGTTTCCTCATAGTGTAACGAAGAGAGTATAAATAGGGTTCAGCCTAGCAAAGAATTATATGGGTCATCTGATCATGCACATTCTGATGTTTTTGAGTAGATAAAAAGCATTATTTTACTCGTGAGGTAACAGGTAACTTAGGAGGAACGATAACCGATGACTAGGTTCTCAGACTCACTTTCGTTAGAACAGTGGTGGGTGGCCGAGAACTTTCTCTGTTAAGCTGTTCTTCCAACTGTGTGACGCGACTCTACAAGACAATAACATATAACAGTTGTGGTCATCAATGATTTAGAAAGACAACGCAATGTTCCACTGTACATCCTGGAGAGTGGGGTGGGCAAGTGAGAAGTAACACCCAAGTGTAGGTTACAGGAATCTGCAATATCTGAGTAGTGGTCATTTGCAAATGAGTATGTCTGTCAAAATCAGTCCAATTTGGATTCAAGTAGTACATAGGATTGACGAAAACTCGAGGACCGCACCCATCTGATGAGCCTTAAGGAGGGCAGAACCGCTTGTAGGCAGTCGAAGAGTTTTCAGCAATCTTGCGAGTGGTCTCCTTTATGAAAATACAGCTATCTGTTTACACTAATAGTGTAAAATCTATAGAGCGTAAGAAAGCAATAAGAACCACCAGTTCGCACTTGTAATGATTTGAGTGGAGAAGAGGCGGACTAAACGTGAACTATGCTGATAGGTGATCTTGATGCGATGAAAAATGTTCTTCCTGCTCTTTGGAGTAATTTATTTGCAATACAAACGCTCTCATCCTGTCCATGTATGGAAATAGTTTTCTCAGCAACAATCCTTATATCCAGAGTACTCTCCTTTGAAAACTCTGATGTTCTTATGCATTCCTCATCATTTTTGTATCTCCATAAAAATCGATTGAATCTAGCTTTTACAAACGCTTTGGGAGATGACAAATTGACCGGAAGCATCCCTCAAAATGAGAATGGTTTCACCTAGCAAGATTTGATAATTTAGGTGTCTGGCATGCGTTCATAATGCCAAGAAATTGCACTCACTTCCTGCTTCAGATGACTGGATTTTAAAATCTGAAACGACGAGGACATGCGCTTTTGATGGGCTCGTATTTAGACGAGAGCCATTATGGGCGCCTCCTGTTTTTAAAGCAGGCTAACCTGATTGATTGCGATAAATTGGTGCGTCCTGTCCGTAAACCTAGATTTTGGCGCGCAAACTCCAGAAATAAACAGTTACCACATTGCATGCCGAATAGGAGAAGCTGCTGTCACGCTTCCTCTTTCGATGGGTTCTTATGCGTTTATGGCTTATCACGAGAGTCCTCGTTCAAACCTGGTAGTGATTTATTCGGTGCTCCTCTGTTCAGTGCCACTCCGTCATTTCTCTTGAGAGGTGTGCTTTGAGATTTACCTGATTGCGCGGGCAGTTTTTCAGCTTCAAGGGATAATGTTTCAGTATGTTCATCATTAGAATGATGTCTTAAAAACATCTTCGAGTGTAGATTGTGCTGAACGGTGTCTTTTATTCCTTATCTGTGTTTGCGTTTAGGATTTTTCCGTGTTGTTCAACTTGCGGCACATATGAGCTGACCTTAGGTCTTTATTGTCTTGTTGCTGTGACCGATTTTTATCTGCTGTTCTATTGGCTATCTCTGTGATAATTGGGGAACATTGAGAGTACATATTTGGCAAACAAGCCCTTTGAAAGCAGGCGACTTGAGCGATTGGTTCCATTAGTCACTGTGGAGAGCGAAATTGCAACAGTTTACTAATTTTTGCGCAAACTAATTGACACCGTTTCTATATATGGGAAAAGATAGGCGATTTCATACAAGTTCTGTGGGAAAAATAGGCCATTATCATGCTAAAGAAGGAACTTGCAAACTCGCCGTATCAGTATACGCTGTTCCCATAGACCGATCAGTCAGCGTCTCGACGTGGAAAACTTCCTATGAGGAGTACAAGCCAGCCACGTTGAATGCTAAACTTTATCACTAACTTACCATCAGTTGTCTGAGTTGACAGTGTAAGCTGTGTGGGCCGTCAAATTTTCTCTGAGAGCTATCTGCTCTACCTTGCCCCCGCCTGTGAAGGTTTTGTTGAAACGAGTGCTGAATGGAGGGTGCATTATTTCCCGACCGAGGACGCCTTCCACTACTATGTCTCGTGGGTGTCAGTCGATCATCATGAGGCATATTCAACGGAACAGTAGATGGACTCTTGTTAGGTCTGCATGACATTCGACTCCTTGGTTGTGCACTAGACATGAATCAGTGAAACCAACCAATCAGTTAATAAAGTGGATCAATATAATCAATTATGACGATCATACGAAACTACGTATCGTCGACAAAGCAGAGGATAACCGCGTAATCTAATATGAAAAACTAAACTCGGGCCAACATAAATGAGGCAAGTGTTTGAGTCACCGAGTCGGTATGGGGGACTTCGCGATGCCAAACTGAAGTGAGAAATAGAGAAATGACGCGGTACCTCATTCTAGAGATTAATGACAACCGCATTCAGCAAGGGCGGTTGACTTAAACACAAGATCTATGCAAGAAGATAATGGACCACTGGTGGATTGTAGCATATCAGATTCGACTTAGTGGTTCAAATAACTGAAGGGCCCAAAGACCAACAGTCTACATCTACCCTCCAATGATGTATTGTCTTAATTCACCAACACTCCGCCAATGGATTCCTCACGTAACGTATGTTGTTCTACAGACACACGAGATCAATAGGTCGGCATAATTGTAACGGTATCGATATCATTTAGCGTCAGACTGCACGGAGAGCTCCGTTAGTACTAGTGCATAACCAGTCAGGCATAGACAAACGTTGCCGTGTCGATGCCCGCAAGATGGCGTTGAAACACTGAAAAAATGTTCATACTAGCCACAACAAGGTAGATATGAAGAGGCCGTTGTAGTCTATCAGGTGCTGACGTATGAGGACAGACCCGAAACTTCGCAGACAACCCCTCAACTGCGGCCAAAAACTTGATGGTTTCGTCAGTACAAGAATGAGACGCTCAACGGTCAGTAGCTAAACTTATCCTAGGCAAGCACCAGGCAACATTCTCGGAAGCACTTTTTCGGCTTCTGGAACAGGCTCATTCTGAGAAAACCCTCCAAAACCTTTTGGACTGGGGAATTGGTACAGCTGATTCTAGAGCTGGTCCACAAGGATGCGCGCAGAAAAATCTCAGCAGAACTCTCTCTTAGGATATTCGTGTTAATAAGCATTTCTTCGTTCATAATTTCACTATCCAATATGAGCGCTGAATACCAATGACTATTTTACGACTACCATCCATTTGAATGATCATATGCAAACTGACCTCCTTCATACCTGGCTTCAAGCTTCCTTTAAGCTAGTTCAACCTTCATGTGTTTTTCGTCTTTCACTATTTTGAAGGGTGCGGTTTGTTCCCGCATTGGCCATCTGTCATCTGTGCAGCAGACGCAAACTCTTGCAACAGGTATGCGTGCTTGGCTGATTAAGCATTTCGAAAATAATCTGTGCTATCCTGTACTATTCCCTTCTGTCATTAGATCGCTGCATGCAAGTTCCACCCCCAGAAAAATCAAAATGTTACTAGTGCATCATCCTACTAACGTCGGCAGATTCGTAGTCATCTTTGCCGCCACAAGTCCTTAGGGAATGCGAATACTGAAATGAATGATTTTTTGACTACTCAAAGCCACCTAGTAGCAGTTTCAGTAGCTATTTTGGATATGGAAGGCAGCCGTGGAACCGTGGATGTCACCACTACGTTCAAGACAGCTAAATAGTTTGACAGACTAAACCCGCTGTTCTCAATGAAAGAACTGAATTCGAGCATACAGATGCAGAATGATAGAGCAGTTTCTGGACGAGTTCAAATACAAATTAAACTAAATAAATACAAGTTATTAAGAAAGGTTTGTCACGATTTCACGAAAGATATTTTGGGGCAAATAGTTGAGTATGCACTAACAATAATGACAGGAAAACTGATCTGTGGGTTTTACGTGTCGAGCTTCAGAATAGAAATGCCGGCATGTTTTTCGTAAAGCTGTTTTTATGGGAAGAATTGCTTGCCGATCGACGTTACTTCATAGGTTGGGCAATCTTTTAATTTTCAATGCTTTGACAAACGACGCTTGACTTATTGTTAGTTTTCGTGTTAATAACGGGACCGTGACTATTCGCTCAAAGGCATCAAACTTCAAGGTGCATTCAGCTTACCTGGAAAGTTCATCATTTGGTTAGATTGAGAGTAAGCATGTTGTTGGCGTTCGTCATATGTAAAGGGTGGTTGGCAGACTGTCCGGAAGGTAGCAACATGAATGTTGGCGAAGGTTCTACGGATTCCGATCCACTACACTCAACTTACAAATTATCATAAGAACAAACGTTATCGTGAAGCTAAGTATTTAGTTTCAAATCATGCCATCTGGATCAAAATTGAGTTGAATTCCCTACCCCATGGCTTGCCAGTCATCTTGTCTTTCTTGGTGATCGACAGCGCTTCGGCCTGAAGGATGAGACTGTTCTTCTACCGTCAGTTCGTTTAACGGATGCAAAGGTTGGATAAAACCATAATCTTAACAACATCGGTAAAAGTTTCTCTTAGGTAAAAAGCTTGGACCAAAATGAAATTGCTTTAACTCATTGCTTACTGAAAACTGTTCAGAATTCCGGCTGGCTTCAGGTTTGGGAAGGTGTACTTCCTCTTTATTATGGCTCTGGATATCTGTGAGTGCACTGAGTGCTTATCCTGCACAACACCTGGTGGTTTCCAGACAGCACGAGCTGAGATTCGGCGAGAGGTCGGTAGCGGAGTTGAACTCGATGTCCGCCGTCCTTCGTTTGGGTGTGGAGCAAACGGTAGCGTCGTTGCATGGGCACTTTTACTCCTGTACCTCTTCACGGTTGCCTAAAATGTATGATGAGTTACACAAGGACGTCTAGAAGCATTTTGCGTACAGTCTGCTGAGAGTTACTGATAAGCATGGATAATTTGTATCCATAAAGAGCACGAGGAAGTCGTTTGCAAACGATCCAGAGTTATAAAACTGCTAGAGCGGATTTAATTTTCTGCAGCCTAAATAAGTATATTTATACGGTTCAAAAATTGTACAACAAACTCTGACTCACAGATGTCTGCAGCGTGATGTTGGCCACAATATAGGACAACAAAAAACTCTAGAACTGCAGTTTCTCAAGTCTTCTCTTTGTGCCGAATTTGTCCAAACCTTATCGAGTAATCTGTAATCATATTATGTCTGTTCCCGTCTCGTGCCTATCGCTCTAAACTCTTGCATCCACTCACGCATCCAGTCAAGCACCCTCACTACCTCTGGGGAAATACCAAGGTAAGCGCAACTTGGGTGGAGCGCCATATAGAATGTAATTAAAAGAATCAATCTTGGACTAACTATTGTTCTCCAAGAGAGTAGCGATGAGCCAAGAAAGGTGGGACAGGTGCGGAGGCTGGTGAAACATTCGATGCTTGGAGGGTGTGTATGTGTGTGTGTCTTCGTTTGGTTTGTTGGAGGTATTCATGCGGAAAGAATGACGATGGGGTGCTTTTTGTTAGGTGCGAGTGAGCGTGGTATAAAAGGGAGGAGGTGTTTTATCCTGTTCGACCAAAAAAGATGCTTTCTTGGATGAATGGTGACAGAGATTTGCATCAAATTTGGTGAGCTAGGTAGCAATTAGTTAGGCGAGAATCCCTTCCTTCTAAAATAACTGACCGGTTACAGTTTTGGTAGAATTTTACTTACTGCAACAATTCAGTCATTATTCGGGTGACTGCAGTTAGGACTGGCTATGTGCATCAGCATCGAACGCGATAGCATGGTCGTACTCAATAACTGATACTCAATTTAAGGTCTGATCTAATTCTCCGTCGGAGTCGGGTGAGTCTCCCGTAGTGTAGATGCCATGGACTCGGTAAATTAAACCAAATGAAGCGCATCGCCTCCCAAATTAGACGGATTCCTAAAGTACAAAGGAGGAGAATCACTCCGCGGTTCATTGGTTTTGGGTACTCATGCAGTTATGTGCATTTTTGGTCAGCTAAAGAATCTGAGACATGTAGCAAATTTATACTGTGTTGAATTACTTTCAAAGGAAAGGTTGTGGTTTTGAACGGGCAATTTAATCCGACGTCCCAATGACTTTGGGCAATAATATTATTGTTCTGACTTGTTTTCTGTGTGAAAAGTATTAAATCAAGGTAAGACATTTTTGGTTCATTGAATTTTTCCTCCTAAGTGGAGATGGACATGAAGTTTACCGAAGCTTCTTTGGCGTCGGATCGATACTCAAACTTAGACAGTGGCATCTAACCTGAGCGGTCCCGCAGAAACTAAAATTGACCAGTGTCTAAACAATTCGAGTTCGGTACCCCAATTGGGACTATGAAAGTCGTGTGCGGATTCCATTATGATGCGCAAACCCCTTGTTACCAAAGCGATAAATGGTTACAGTATAAATTTTCGGTATACGAAAAAAAGTAGATTGTTGAAGCGAATGTTTGTAACTTGAAGGATAGAGCGCAGAACATATAAAAGCGTGTGCGCAACAGAGGTCAGAACAGCGTTCAGCCCCATTAACGGGTCTCATTAGTGTTATGTTACCGTGGCTATGCACTTCAGCTTAACCGAAAAGAATATGCAGAAAAAATTGAACGTATCATCAGACCGAGGGAAAACAAATGTTTACTCACAATGGGCTGCCCTCGGTGAGGTTGAGCTGATGAAGGACGCCTAATGGTTGGCGTATTTGTTTCAGTTTTGGATGCAGACGTAGTTTTCAAGCAGGTTCGTAATTTTCGGCGCCGTTCATGAAATCCAGTCATCCCAGGCCATTTGAATGCCGTGATTCGAGAGCGTGAGCCTTCGGGGCTACCAGGGATGCAGGTTTTCAACCAGTTGAACTTTTGAGAAACAGTGATCAATGAAAGGCTTGTCAAATGAGAGCGTCTGAACAAAATGGAAATCCCCTCAAGAGGATCAAGCCAAATGCTCATGCGAATTCAGTGCTACTCCTTGATGTTTGTAGCAAAACTGCTACCCTTCCTGAAGACGTCGGAAATATTTGTCGACTTAAATTCCCTCAAAGAAAAACTAGGGTGCAGAAGTAGGGTGCAATAGGTATCCATTTATTCAATCATTCATCAGAAGTATGATCAAAATTAGGCAGCTGTCGATTTTCTGTGACATAATACTAGTGCAGTTCTTTGTGTCAGCAGAGGGTACCTCTCAGATGAGACCACTTGGGTTCGATCCACCGTACGTTTTTCTGATTGACACTGATTCATGTGTGCACTTAAATCAAAGGAACTGACTTTGGTGATGGCATTTAGGCGACAGTTCGAATGAACAGGAAAAACATTCCCGGAAAAAAATAAGTTCCTCAAGAGGTATGTATCTTCAAGGGGCGATTTTGTGTATTCCTGCAACATGCCTTTAGGAGGAAAGACTATAAAGTTAATCTGCGCTTTGAGAAGTCCAAGGAAAAAAATAAGTTCCTCAAGAAACCGGTATCTTCAAGGGGCGATTTTGTGTATTCTTGCAACATGCCTTTAGGAGGAAAGACTATAAAGCTAATCTACGCTTTGAGGAACAAGTCCAAGGTTGTCGCTTACGAATGTGTCCACTGAAGATGATCAGAAAAGGAAGGTCACAATGATAAATCTGCGTCAGCTTGTTGTCACCCTCCGACAAGGCATTTGTAGATGTTTCGTGACCCCTGGTGATTTTAGAACAGTGGAAATAGTTGGAGTGAGATAGCTTGCGGAATAGGAAATAGTTCCTTCTTCAACTGCAGTTGGGGTCAGAAATAAAGGGCTTTCTAAAGAAGTTGTCCGAATTTCGAAAAAGTCTGGTGACAATCGGTAGATTTACTGCTGGGCAACGTTTCGCTTTTGACACAAAGCTTCGTCAGGCCAAGTGACTAGGTTCTGAGGTTGGTCGAGATTTAAGGCGGAAGGAGAACCAATCAGCTAAGTCAAGCCAAATCTCTGTTGGGTGTCGGCCGAGGGATTTTAGTGTGTTAGAGTGGTTGAACAAGTGTTGGGTCAGTGGAGAAACCTACATGTGTTTGGGTCCAGCCTAGGGTCTAGTTCTTCTGGTTCGGTTCATTTGATGGTTCCTCTTGAACTTCGTTTGAACCTTCTGTTAGTCTGTGTGGGTGAGCTAGTGCTAAGAAAGTTGTGTAGGAGGGATGCTGTGACCTTTGGTCGGTTGGGGTTTCCACCCCTACCCCCCGGTTTTTTCTAATGATCCTAAGTGGATTGACAACCACACCGTCACGTGTCAACTCGGCTTATCTAAGACCGCTTTCCATACGCTCGCTAGCTCCACACCCTCGATTCTATTCACGCTGTGATGCTTAGTGATTTCCACCGCCTCGGCTATCAGCCGTTGTGGTGTGAATCGCAGTCCCCGTCTTAAGACTTCCACATTCTCCAGATCTATTCTATGTCCCGTGTCTAAGGCATGTACCGCCATCGCTGAGTCTTTGACCAGCGTTTGGTATTCTTCTGCATTCCTTGGTGGCTTGTTAATCCTTCTTTTATGCTCACCAATTCTGGTGTGTAATTCCCTGGCAGTTTGTCCCATATAAACCTTAGCGCAGTCGTTGCAGTTAATTTTATAAACACAGTGCCTAGTCCTTTCAACCCGCAGGGGATCTTTCAATTGCACCAAAACTGAGCGAAGCGTTTTTTCCTTCTGAAAATCCACTCGAATGTTGGCTAATTTCAACAGTCTTCGAATAACCGCCGATGTTCCTGCTTTATATGGAATGACTGCTGTGCCCATCCATTCCGTACTGGGTCTAGATACTGGAGCCATTATCTTATTTAGTTGACACCTAATCATGCTTAGTGGGTATCAAATTTCTTGGAGTTTGTTGGCAATCTCGATTTGAGCTGCCGTTCGGTCGGTCTTTTCTGTGCACAGCGCTCTAACTCGACGAAACACCGATGAGACAATACTGGCGTACACGGACTTTGGGTGTGCTGATGAATAGGTTAAGACGTTTCCTGTGTCTGTTGGTTTCTGGTTGATTGTCGTTTTCAATTTCCCACCAATCTTGTGTGTTATACAGTCCAGAAAGGGTAATGTGCCCGAGGTGGACTCTTACTTGCTCGTGGAAGCACAGTATAGCTAAACTCTCGTCTGTATACACTTGTATTAGGTTGAGCGCGTCATATTTTGCTCCAGGGCGCAGAAAACTGTATTGTCCCAGCAGAAATAGCCTCTTCACTGAGCCTAGTGAGTGGCCTTTGTTTTAGGGGACCGGTAAAACTGTCGCTCCAGAGGGTGATCCACCTCGATTCATAACATAATTGATTCACGTAAGCTGCCATTCTGACTTCAGGCTTTTTGTATGTCCTCAGACGTTTGATATTTCCCGTGCCATTCTTCAGTTTCTCTTGGACATACAATGGACAGGCAACGAGGGAGACAAATGCTCCAATTAAAGTTATGCCAAATCGGCGGTACATAATGAGATAACCATTGCGGAAACTTTTTTGCTTTTAGTCTATTACAAAGAACTATGTTTCATAATAAGGAAGACCATTAGCTTTTCGGGGTATTGAAAACAAACTCATTTATGGTTTCGCTGAACACTGATTTGGCAATTTACGAATGCAGACCTGTTTGTAGTCTTCACGTCTTTCAAGGTAATCAGAACTTTGCCAAACTAATGGTAGTTTTAGATCATCCGGCTGAACTCAGCTGCGACAGGTTAGGAGTAGACGAGTGGACCTGCATGTCGATGGAATGTTTCGAGTGCTAGACCCAACTACAAGTTTGTGAGTGTTTCAGACTATCTTCTACAAGCCAGTTTGAAATAATGTCTCCTCATCTGAACAAATTCAGCGAAGTCTATGGCAGAAAACACTTCCTAGATACGATCGTCAAACGTGGTAATATGTGTTGTAATGGCCAGTTTGATAGAGACATACCAATAGACATGTTATATCCATATGACCTCTGAGGATGGTGGAACATATCCTGATAAGTAGTTTGAGGCTGAATGTGATGCGTGCTGATTATGTCGCGCGAGACGGACGATGTGGTTTTTAAAGGTGGTTGTGAAGCCATCATAAATCACTCCCCTCCAAAGTCCACTGGATTGGGTGATGTGATGTAACAAGTGTTTTGTAGTAAAACTTCGGAAACGAATCAAGATGACAGTAGTGGCACAGACATGCTTCGGCCACGCAGTTCAATTAACTGCAAACAAGCCGCCTCATGACTCAGTTGGCACAGTATTCGAGAAATTGCAGTATTATTTTTCGACAAGTACTACTAATGAGTTTGCTGAAAGCCCTTTGACAGTCCACAACCGTTTTTGTCCTTCTTTGGACGAGAAATTCAGTGGCGGTTCAGATTTTTACCAGTTGTAACTAAAATGGAAAGCAGGAGGGTGTATTTTGCTCTCCCTTTACTGTAAGAGAGTTTGTATCAACCATATGATATCAGTAGAATCAGGTCATTGTTTTGGGATGTGGCGACGCTGAATGACGTTACCGTCACAGAAACAGCAAACGCGGCTCGACCGCTACAAATAAAAAAACAGTCGAATCTGACTGGTTGTTCATTACTGACCAAACAAGTTTGTCGCAGGTCAGTAATAGGATATCTATTAGTTAAAATCACTTTCAAATTTCCTCATGTTGAAGTGGTCAGTTGCATTTTAGAGATCGGATAGCAGTAACATGCTATTCAAGTCCGTCGGTCAGGAAGGAGGTTGAAAAGGGAACCTGGCCTAAGGTTCCTCGGTTATTTGTAGGCGGTGGTTGATAAACTTATCGTTTATCACTATAATCCACTGAAAAATTTCTGCCATTTGAAACAAGGAAAAAGAGAATTCACTCTTAAGTGTTTTCGGAAAAATGTCGTCAGTACCTCTACAAAAGGTGAATTTTAGAAAACTCAAATAAGACCACCTTTTGCACAAAAATTTCGCCTAAGAAAAAGAGGTTACCCAGCATTTTTTCTTCGAAATCTTGCACGCAATAAACCCTCAACCGGAAACCAGTGTGATAGGGAAAGTTCTCGAAGACGTGTTTTTTGCCCCTCGGAAGAAAAGTGACAGAGTAGTGCACACCGATCGTGGGTGGAACATCACTTCACGAAAACTCGTACACACCAACACAACGACTGATTGACGGCGAAAAAAATTTCAGTAATACATCAACCGCGGACAGTGTTAGGGAAGGAGAGAGAGAAGAAGCAGCGTTTCTCAACGGTGTGGCTGTATGATCTTGTTCCACGTTGCATGAAAAGGTAAATTAAATTAACTATCAGAAAACTGAACGATTGCCAGAGCCGGTTTGCAATCAAACACTTACTTCAGTTTGTTTTCCCTCGGAATTGAGGAGCGCTCGCTCGGTGACGGCTCGTAGAATCTCACGCGCTGATAATGGAATAGAAGACAAATTTACTACTATTAGCTGAAACTAAAAACTGAACTATTCTTTTTCCGTCATCACTCTATCGAGCATTCCAAGCAAACGGAAACCAGTGTGAGGAGAGTATTTTGCACCACTGTGTAACTCCATACCGGTAAATCGCCTGTTGGCGCGTAAAACCGTTAGGAACCAGTGAACCAGTAGTACTGGTTTCGCGATGTATACCACTGTGAAATGTTCGAGTAATGGCTGGTGAAGTTTTAAAACGTCGTCCCTGCATCTGGAAGGGTTGATGAAAAAACTATTGTGCCACTTGAGAATGCTCACTTAAGAAAAACTCCGTGTGTCTTATGGATTTTAACCACTAAATCTGTGTTGGTCATTTGGCAATGGCTCACTGGAGAGCATTATTTATTCAATTGATAACGTTGGTACATTGCCCATTGGAAAATGCTTCTCCGTGTTCATTAAAAAGGTTCTAAATTCAGTTTCACATCGATCGACTTCCGTCATAGTCTAGGCATTGAAATTTCAAAATGGCACCACTCGATGAAATCTTGTCCGCGAGAGAGCAATGCTGGTTGGGGAAGATATTTGGATCGATCTAATTTTGTATGGTCGCGTTAGTGTGAGTGCGCGGAAAACCATCAGAATTTATCGATCAAGAAGCCATGAACTTTGTCTGACCAGGAATGTTTGACTGGATGCTCACTGCAGGATTTTTGGCCAAGCAAAAATCATCTGGTCCATCGCAATCACGTTCACATAAACTGTTCGACACCATATATTAAGGAATGAGGTGAATTCACGAATTCACGAGGACGCTGGGGCAAATGACCAAACGATTTCCGTTAACGTACACTCCCAAAACGTATGACTGATTTCAGATTCCCCGCAAACATACAATAGTTGGGACTCATTGACCCTATGAGTATGTATATCCTTAATCCTCTATGAAGTTCCCGCTTCGAGTTTCCAGCATTCAAGTGTCTCTCTCATACATCATGTAACTGCACAGTGCCCTAACCAAAAATGTAACTGATTTCTGAAAAACATATCTTGTGTTGGTTCACTGGTAGTTTAGCCGATCCGTTTTCCAATTACTGTTGATTAATCACGTGAATCACTTACCGAAATACCCACTAGTGAGACAAATGGAAACGATCACCAGGAATCTATTCTGATGACCGAGAATGGTTGGTCAAACGTTTGCTACAGTTTGAATATTTCCCAGCAGTTACAGGAGGTTCATCAAAACAGGAGTAGTGAGAAAAATTTAAAAAGCATCCCCAAATCATTTAGAAAGAGGGGTTTTCGTGTCAGGAGTACAGATCGTCGACAAGTTAGAGCTGATCAGTAGGCTACACAACATCCATGCACAGAGAGCTAGATTCACGTAGCCAACTGTGATTTTCAATGCCATACGCGAAGTCATCTGTGTTCCAGCAGTCATGACAGTCGATGTTATCGATTTGATCCACGACCGGGTTTAGTCAAGTGTTTACGAGTGGCTGCCGTCGGATTTACGGACGCCACTTGGCGACTGAAGTGTTACTGTTGCAGGTAAAAATCTACAAACGACAGGCGAGAGAGAGCTACAGGATGTCCGTTTTGTTTACAGATAATTGAACGTACTGCTCATATAAGGGACACTCCAGGAAGGAACGGTTATCCACTAGATTTCAACAGAATGACATGCTGAAACTCGGAAGTTTCTTCGAGCTACCCAAATTCCCTGATTAGCGAATTCTTACAGATCTATCGGAAACTAACTGTATGGACAACTAGCTAATCCACTAGCAAGTCAGATGAAGTGACTATCTACGTATGGATAATCCGTTATGATCTCTGTGTCGTATACATGAAATGTTAACTGAACGTATGCGTTGCATAACGGAATTTTTGCATGTTTCCCTCTCCAAAAAACCTTGTAAAGAATAAAACGAAAAAAGAGCCGGCTGCTGATCTGTATGGCCTAGTGAACTACTGTCCGATCAGTTTTGCCCAACAAAAAAGCCTCGGTAATTGATGTGAAAGGGAGCTGTATTAGGGCAGCTGGCTCCTAAGGTCAAACCAGCAGATGTGAACTTCAACGCTTGTCTTGTTAACTCCACACTGACATATGCTAGGAGACATTTTGAGACTACTGCCCTTTGCTTTTTGTGGTCCTCTTCTGACTAACGCTTACAGTGAAAGGAACAGCATGTAATGCAGTTCTGCATTCAACTCTCTTGATTGTTTAACCAATAACCTACTCGACAGAAGTGAATTAAGTTTACTGCAGTTTCTTATACATGCACGTTCCTATACTATTCCGTTCACTGTCTACTAAAATATTGTAGCGCACTTTCTACTTCCTACGTGGTTCATTGTAAAATCAACTTGATTGGTATGGCGGAAGACTCAACCTGTACATCGCACTGGATAACAAGAGAATATGTAGTGCCAGTTGAGAACCACGCTGTACACTACACTATACCATGTTGTGCTCTATATCACACTAAGTCTAATGTGCTATACGATACTATCGGGTCCAGACAGCTCAGTGTCATGACGCAAATCTACTTAGCGGAGGTTCTGTGGTTCGAACCCAACCTAGGCGTCGCGTCCGCTCCTGACCTGCCTTGGGAAGCTTAGCGGCATCTCAGCTCGCGTGCTTCCTCCATGTGGCTTGGCAGCTGAGCAATCAACATTATTACTCACCCCACACTTTGCTATAGTTAATCATGCCATACTATTTATAGAATGAAATGTCAATAAAAATGTTTTGTCAAGGCTAGCGTAGCGAGTCCCCAGCTTCCTTATTAAGTAAGCGGACTAAACAGACCCTTGCGAATCAGTCAGATGCCCCTTGATTTGGCTTCTTTTGTTACAAGTGTGAGCGCAGGTTCAGGTTTGTGTGAAGTGACAGTCATTGCCAAAGCTTTGTAAAGCTTGAATTCACGCGTTTGTTTTATGCGTAACTATTTGCTTTTATGACATTTGTGAACAAACCAAAAGCAAACTGAAGTCACCTTCAGTGCAATCTTCAACTGTCCCAGCCCCCATTCCATTATTTTATTGTAGACGCACAATTCCCTCTTGGTGAGCTAACACATCGATTGCTCTTTCATGCGCCTAGTTTTTATTGTCCACAGTAAAGCAGTCAGGCAAAGATATACATTGTCTGTTGCGTGCAAAAATAGTGTCTTTCAACGTGCATGCCTATCACACTGGCTTTTCACCCAATTTACAAATGTCGCCAGATTGCAGAAGCGTGCCGATGGCTCTGTAGTTTGCTTTTTTCAATCTCTCCAGCCGAAGTTTTGCAGCTGAGTTAACAATTCTGTATTTTACCTGTGCAAATATCTGATGGTAACTCGGAGTTTTCTGTAACTTTACCAGTAGTGTCTTCCGCCTAGGCTTCATGCTAAGGTTACTAAATGCAGTCAGAAATATGTCACGACTCTCGATCGAATTTTTTTCAGACGGTCACTTAGAAAGGGTGCATAGAATTTGACTTGAGATGGGGAGGGCAAGGCACGAAAGCGCATCCTTACTCAAGAACTACTCCCGTAGAACAGAAGTTGTTTGATCCTTCCCAATTTGCAATAGTTCTTGAGAAAAGGCACACATGTTTCCACTTATGCAAAGAAGGTAGATTTCATTCATCAGATCACCTCCCTTCTGTACTTTTCTCCTATCTCTGTCTTCGTAATGTACACAGACATAATCGTAGTTTGTCCAGGTTAGTCAGTTACATTCCTTGTATGTCATGTGACCCTTGACCAACCGTTGGGCTAGACTTTGCAACACTCCCATCCTGAATTTTCTGTGCTGCTCCACTGGCCTATAGACACAACTGCAAAGTGATTTCTAAGAGAACATTATCCTAGGTTTTCCTCTTACTAGAATTCCTGAGCTTGTCAGTCGACAAAAGACCCTCGTTATGACCTCTGCATATACCCCGACTAACGAGATAAACAAGTGAAAATACATTCTCTTCCAAAACGATTATTCAACAAATTTATGGTATGTATGAAGCCGTTTCTACGGCGTATTTTTTTATGATATGCGGAGACCCAGTGAAGTAACCAGCCTTTGTAAAATTAAACGTTACAAATCTGTACCTAAATTTGTGCAACTAAGGATATCATACAGTCAGCAATCCAACCAACTGCTACTCCCCATTTGTATCCAGATGAATAGTCCCGGGTTAGACAGTCTGATTGTCAATACAAATACGTCTTAGAAACTATGGTGCCACAAACCTTGGCCACAACAAACCGGCAGTTAGCTGAGCGAAGACGTGTCTCCTATTGTAACACACTCATTTGCAAATCGATTTTGCTTTAAATGGGACTTAAATTAATCACAGATGAAACTCTCACCTGTACAATTATGCAGCTGAATGTGCTGAACAAAGGCCAACTCATTTATTGCAGTATATTTTCTCAAAGAAGCACTACCTATAAGGTTGCCGAAAACTCTATTCATGCCCGAACGGCTTCACTCCTATTCGAGCTTATCGGGTAAGCAAACAGGCCGGCCTCATATCGCAGCACACTTTCTAGAGAGAACGCAATTTTGCTTTAACCAAGGTTTCTCCTTTCAGTATGCGTCCACATTTGTTCTACTTCTGAATTGGATCTTCGTGGACCCACATCCCCATGTGTCCGACTGACCATTATTTGCACGCGTGACTTTGAACCATTAAGTTACAGTGCGCATCTGCTAACCACCTCTTATGTGCGACTGCCTGTTTCCGTTCGTAATATCTAAATTTATCAGTTATTTTACGGATGATCCTCGTTTGTAGTTCGACAGCTCATGCAATCTTGCACTGTCCCACTACTTCTGTATACCGCTGGCTTCACTGATAAAATTTCCGCCCACTGCACTCCAGATCGCCACACTTTGCTATTTCTCGTCGTAGGTTCCTATTCATGGAGCTCCTGAAAGGTACTGCTTTAGAAACAAACCCTTAGTTTCTACTGCAGTATTCGCCGTTTGATTCAGCCTTATTGCTTATGTCAATACTGATATCTCAAAAGCAACAGATCTTTCATTAATCTAGCTCAAATCTTCAGGTCTATGTGCAGTCGCAAGTTGGCAAAGACTGCTTATGTGGGATTCACACTGCTCCGGTCTTTACATTGAGCCCTTGTTTTATTAGGCATGACCAAAGGCCGTTTCTCTAAAACAGACGGCTTTTCCATGTTTAGCTGAATAACCCCTTATTCAAGTTGATTGGGAATTCTGATAACCAACAAGTGGACGATTAAATTTTGAGCGTCATCATTTTGAAACACTTCTTACTTCCATCAGTCTTTGCAGAACGATGAAGAGAAATGATCGTTATGTGTTCTGGCTTTAGGATTTGACTCTGATCTCATCTGCTAATATATTCCACGCTAATCGTTCGTTCAAAACCAGAGAGGTAACCAATGGAGATAATTTGGTCCTGGAATTTCCTTGTTGTTTCCCTTATTCGTCTCATTCGCTTTCATTATTCGCCTCATTTCCGAATAACTCGCCTATTCATTCATAATCTCACACGAGCTGAGTCTTCCATATGTGTAGGATCTTGAAGCATCTGCCGTTCGGTCTTTGTCTTCAAATTAGATTGATGACATATCCTAATCAATGTAATCTGGCGTGGTCCCGTGTAGCTATACCTTCACAGATAAATGATATAACAAGGAATCGGCAACCGATTTATTCAAAAACTCTATTGATCATGAAAGTTTTGATGCCCCACACCTGTCGGTAAGTATGGTGCTCTTGTACGTTTTCGTTCTTCATCACTTAACACTATAGTTCGTTCCATCCGAACCTCCGAACGACACTCAAAAATCAGAACTAAACTGATCACAGCCCAGTTACTTGATATCTTGGGGGACCACTGAATGGATGAAGAATCGTATAGTATATTATGCTGAATTTCACTAAACTATCACTTGTCATATCGAGTGTAGTTCACACTCGCAGGGAAAATATGATTACTTCATAGTTTTATGCCTGCCAGACTGAAACATGTTGATAGATCATAAAAAGATCTTCTTGGCCGACATATACTGAAAACATTGAAAACAGAACATACACTAAGCTGAAATAATCCAGGAAACTGACCAGCACAGTACCTTTTGCTAGAAGCTGTGACCCAATTCTTGTGAAGAGCAGGGAACTCAACAAAAAAGAATCTACCCCTTTCGGAAAGGTTCGGTAACAACCAATAAGCTTATTGCTGGACAAATTTTTGCTTTTGGAACAAAGTCGTTGTCAGGCCAAGTGACTAGGTTACGAAGCTGTTTGAGATTTAAGGTGAAGGACAACCAATCAGCTGGCGCAATCTAAATTTCTGTTATGTGTCGACCGAGGGATTTTGTAGGCTAGGGTGTGACCAATTGTTAGGCCGATGGGGAAAGTAGCCTAAAGTCTAGTTCTTCTAGTTAAGTTCACGTGATGAACGTCGTTTGCACTTTCTACCGGTCTGTGTGGATGAGCTAGTGCTATGATAGATGTGTAAGAGAGACTCTGTGAACTTTGATCAGTTTGGGATTTCAACCCCGTTATTCCTAATGATTCTGCGTGAATTGGCAAACACACACCGTCATATGTCAACTCGGCTTGGGTAAAACCGCTTTCCATACGCTCGCCACTTCCACACCCTCCATGCTGTTCACGCTGTGATGCCTGGTAATTTCCATCGCCTCGGCTATCAGCCGCTGTGATGTGAATAGCACTTCCCGTCTTAAAACTTCCATATTGTCCGAATCTACTCTGTCCCGTGCCTGTACCGCCATCGCTGAGACTTTGACCAGCGTCTGGTATTCTTCCGCATCCGTTGAGGTTTGTGCATCCTCCTTTTATTCTCGCCAATTCTGCTGTGCAATTCCCTGACAGTTTGTCCTGTGTAAACCATAGTGCAATCATTTCAATGCGTTTTATACACAAATTCCCTCGTCCTTTCAACGGCAAGAAGGATCATTCACCTGTACCAAAACTGAGCGTATCGTTTTTACTTCTGGATAGCTACTCTAATGTTGGTTAAGTTCATCAGTCTTCGAATAACCTCCAAATCCGTTCCTTACTTGGCCTATATGCCGGAGCCAATATCTAAGTTGAGGCTCAATCAAACTCACTGGGTAGTCTATTTCTTTGTGTCCGTTGGAAATATCGATTTTGGCTGCCGTTTGCTGGATCTCTTCTGTGCATAGAGCTCTGACTCAATGAAACAGTGATGAGACAATATTGGGGTACACAGACTATGGATGTGCTGATGAGTCGTTTAAGACGGTTCCTATGTCTGTTAGGTTTTCATAGATCTTGGTCCTCAGTTTCCCACTACGCTAATGTGTTATACAGTCCATGAAGGGTAATATGCCTGAGGTGGACTCTATCTCCATGCCAAATTTAATGTGTGGATTGAAAGTACTGCGAGAGTCGTGAAAGCTAAACCAGAAGAACTAGACTTTGGGCTGCATTCAATTCCACATAGGTTTCCCCATTGGCCTAACAATTGGTCACACCCTAGCCTACAAAATCCCTCGATCGACACATAACAGAAATTTAGCTTGCGTCAGCTGATTGGTTGTCCTTCCACCTTAAATCTCAAACAACCTCGTATCCTAGTCACTTGATCTGACAAAGCCTTTGTGCCAAAAGCAAAAATTTCTCCAGCAATAAGCCTACCGATTGTTACCAAACTTTTCCGAAAACTGTGACTTCTGAATCGGTTAAAATTGTTTTTCACCTGCTTTAACAACCACCCCTACCTGGAAGGTGAACATCCAGCAGTCTATTGAACTAATTGCTTTGACATGCGGATCGATAATAGTGGAAACAGCAAAAGATGAAGTGATACGCACGAATGCGTTTATACGCCACGAGCAACTTGAAAACCGGAGTTCTACTGACAGTTGCGGGAGGACTGTATTCTTAAGAGAAATCCTGTAGAGAGATAACATTATTAGTTCACTGTGAACAAGGTTTCATCCCTGCAGTATGTGCTCAGACGGAATGTCACGTTATGCATTCAGAAAGGGAAATTTTCACGAGCTAAGTTAGCCTAGGTGGTCGTTGGCTTGCTCGCTGAGCTGCGCAATTCGATTGCAAACGTTTCATCACCAATCGGGGTGACGTCATTGGTGGGTTTTTGCAGCCACCGACCTATCGCTACGCTCCACCGCACCCCCCTTAACAACGCACTGATGATGTCATCTCGGTTGTTGATGAAACGTATTTCAGTCAAATCGCCCAGCAAAGAAAACAAGTCAGCCACCACACCTACCAAGGTCTATCGGTTGCTACAAAACCAGTCGATGATTGTCATCTGTGCCCAAAAACAAATCAACTGCATTGAGTGTGCTCATTTTTAAACCTTCTGGTTTCTTCTGTACCCAAGAGAAAATACTGTAAATCTTCATCCCTCCTGAAACGCAGCTTGTGAGTGAACTTATGGTGTACTTTTTAGCAAAAACTCTTAAGCGGATATGACAGGTTGACCAAAAAATACCTCCACTATCGTTTAGACGAGCCCTGAGTCCCCAAACGTAACTGATCCACGACTGACCAATACAGGGTGACAGGGATACAGTTGATAAAAATAAGTACTTATGGAACTCCCAAATGCCCTTATTAGTGCGATAGCAGGTTTGAATTTGTACGAGAAACATCTAAGGTGTAAAACAAACATTTACGATCGATGGTCAAACAACTTACATATATTCGGATTGCGTCTCAAATCGACCACCGCAAGCGAGTGATTGCCTCTGCATTCTTCTGGCAGTTGTGAGGTTTCTAGTTTACCGACAAGCATTGGGCTTGGAGTTCCCGTCAATACACGTAACCAAGTCATTGCTGATCTGTCGCTAAGATTACATGCCTGCAAATCAACAGCTTTGACCCATAAATCATCGAATAAAGACTCAGCAATTCTGATAGATCCAGAGTCACCCAGTCGTGGGTTATCATTCAAGGTGATTCGGCGGAGGCCTCCGAGCTGGTCGAGAGCTGGGCAACGATAACGCAAGGAATCTTGCCATGCTGCACTGTGTCTTTGAATTGTTTGGTGCTTCAGAATATGAAGTGGAAAGTATGATTTGAAGTCAAATCCTGGACAGCCTACTAAACAGATACAAGTTTTATATGGCGTATTTCATTCCATGGAATTCAGCATTCAATTGTTACAAAAAAATAACACTACAGAAAGTAAACTACAGTTACCTCTGAGCATTCAGTTAGTATTTGCTTCTTTTTAGCAGAGGTTTAGACACACAGGAGCTTGTAAATACAGGAAGTGTCAGGGGGAGGAACAGTCACTGCGTCTTTTTATGGTCCACAAAATTCATACCAGCTGTTGTGTCCTTACCTTCGATACTGATAACTGAATTTAACCAGTTTGAATTTTGCTTAGGGTTTTCATAGTCGGTTATTAGAACCCGGAGGGTTTGCCGTCATCCAGATAGAGATGTACTTAAATGGCGGTGAGAATGTTTCAGCTGAAACAATAATCCAAAGCTGAGAAATCCGGATTTGAAAAAAAAATATGTAGACGTTTAGTAGGCTTTGGCGTAAATCAATAACCACTCCTTTTCATCAGCAGCGAATTCCAAACATAAAATGCATGCTGATATTTCATAGTGCATCTTGCGCTTATTCCCCTAAATTACAGTTAGGCTTACAAAGTAGGCACCAGGCTTATCCATACGTTTCTGAGTGTTTGGATACGCCAGCGAACTAATTTTACTCAACGTCTCGCCAGTCAACGTCAAACAGAATGTACGATACTTCTTGTTTTAGTTTACCAGTTGCAGTCGCTTTATCGTCAGAGTTAGGCTTCTATGACGGCTTACAGTCGTCAACAGATTTCAACCTTTGTTTTATCAGCGTCAGCTAGGGTTATCATATAACGCTCACTGTTGACGTGATGATGACGGTGTTCCAAGTTGCACCTCTACACGTCAAGATCATCAAAGAATGCAGAATCCTAGTTGAAGAGTGAATACACTTTCAATGTAGCTGACCATCATTCAACTTAAAGATCTCATGACTACTTGAAGCACTATTATGAGTTTCTGCTTACTCAGTGTATAAACCCCAAAATACATTGAATGAAAAGGGCTCATAACTGTGCCACCATCACTGGTGTTCTTAGGGACAACTAGTTGGAATGTCAATGAGTTGGATATCTCACACCTTAACAAACCTAGTTCTTTTCAATATGGAATCCATCATCATTTGCACCTAAGACTATCACAACATGCCTTAATAAGGATATGGAAAACGAATCATCCAGAGCATGAATATAACTATAAAAGTACCAAAAGTGTTTCTCAACTAAAAGCCCACTGTTAGCCCACTGTGGGTTTCGCCCTTCTTGAGACGACACCAATTCAGCTGGGTTTCAGCTGATTTTAAATAAGCATATCTTGCCGACCTCGCAACAGAGGTTGCTTTGTTTCACACAACGTTCAAGATCTCATGGGACCACCCCATGATTGCAGCGTACAGCTCGACCAACCAGTCTTTCCGGTGATTGGCGCATGGAGGACTTCCTTCTATCGGGACTGTGTACTAGATTTCTTGGGAAACAATGGTTTCCGTTACAAGAGCGAAACACTTAAAATTATGCTTCAAAAAAATCACTGACCCTTTTCCGGTTCTGTGGCGGAACGGGCCCCGCACAACATAGTATCACTTTGACACAATATTTCAGTGTCCTGTTAGACGTAAATACACGTGTTTTGGCAGGAGGGAAACTAAGCTGTGGACAACTTCTCCACAGGAAATGTTAAGATGGTCGGATTTCTATTAATAATACTATTCATTGATTCGTACGGTGCAAGTTTTTTTTGCCTTTATTGTGCAGTACATAAAACAGGAGTGAAACAGGATCCATCTGTGTGTAATTCAGACGAAGAAACTTCAGTTACTCTCACACTGGTTCAATGGAAAACAAATCAAATACTCGATAAATTTGACCTTTTTTACAAAGTATCCAACTATATGTGAGCGAAACTTTTTCTGAGAAATGACTGAACAGTGGAACGAGGCCAGTAAAAAGTGGAAGATTCGTCTGACGGATCGCACTACCCAAGAGGTCGTTAAAGAGTTCAGTAACCTGCCCTACCCAGAGCTCACCAGCAAGCTACAGTCACATCGGCAACAATAATTCCTAGAAAGAATTGCAACTAACGAGTTATCGGTTGTGAGTGAATATTGGACACAAAATCTAATGCAGAGACAAACAGCACTAGCAAAAGGATAATTTTGCAGAGCAGGTTGTGTCATGACTTTCTCATAATGTTTTTTTATTTAGAGAAGGAAAGTGTGAACGAACGCAGAAGTAGCCCGAATTAACCTATAGAAATGAGACTAAAGTGCGATTCGGCATTTAAGTGATATAATCGCAGATTAACAAGTGTGGTTGCAAGTTTAGAATTGTCAAAGAGATCAACAACATACCTCACGATGAAAACTGATCGTATTTAAACAGAATAAGGCATCAACCATCCTCAATCTAGCGCTTCAGGTCACATGGTCACTTTTTGCCTGCTTACGAGAGCAAAGATAAACGCCTTATACAGATTTTCTTCCTGAAAGCACTAATTCTAGCTTGGTGAAGATCCAAAAGTTCAGTTATGATTTCATCATAAAATTGACGTCACTCTGTTTCCAAAAGCCACGAAAACTGTTTCTTCTTTGTTTTCAATTAACAAGGATGTGCATCTCATAAACCTCCGGGTAGATTCAAAATCGTGGTCCTCGCTGAGACTCCTGAGATACGCGCTGCCAAGTATCCTCAACAGGGGCGAAACGACTGCACAGTGCTTCTCACAAACATTTTTTCACATTTTTTATCACAAACATTTTTCATCACTTTGATGGAATTCCGATTGACGATTCTAAAATCCTTTCATACGTCCACCGTTATCGTTGCTTTTTCCCCGATGTTGTACTTGGGTTGCAGGGTTCAAATGCAAGCACACAGAAAGACAGTAGACAGTAACAAGGACATCACTTTGTAATTCCGTGAAGTCTTGTTTATGACACGAGGATCCAAATTTTACAGCAAATATGAAGAAAAATCTCACAATTAGCCTACCCTCATACAAGTTGGTATCAAGTTTAGCTTTACAGGAAACTTCCGCAACTTTATGATACACAGCGTGTGGCCCTGCCATTAACAATGCTTGCTCTTCCATTCACACTACGCTTGGAAATGTGCTGATTGTTTGTGACGTGTAAACTTTGAACTGTCAATCTAAGGGATCAAACCTAACAGGCCCATGGTGATGACGCAGAGGTGATCCTAGGCCTTTTCACAAAGCGGCAAATGTGCAGAGATTCTGTAAATATTATCTGAATGCCTTATTCTGGGTGTTCGTTTTTTTACACTGGTTACCAAGTCAGTAAACAGTGATATAATGTTTGACGTTCCTGATTTCAAACCTTTAGATGAATTCGCACCTCACGCTAACACTCCTGTACCAAGACATTGGCCAAGATGTAGAACTAGTCTCAACTATATCAAATGTTGCCGGTGTTCTGAGGCATCTTCTCTCGCACATTATCGCGATTGATGAACCAAACTTTTTGAGCTTCAAATGCTTCAACGTTATTTTCACTAACATTCGTGTAGTCAGCCGACCCTTGTAAGCCTTGTGAGAACGGTTAATCAGATACCAAGTGCATGGTCTATTTGTGCAGTCTGTATGTATTTCGACGATTAAGAGCACAAGCTGATATTGCACATCAAGGAATAAATATTATCGGGCAATCACACAGGAAAGATATCGGTTGATTCCTGCTGTTTGGAACTAGCGGTGTTGATCCAGGACAGCACAGTACCACAAATATTATGACCGCTGCTAGTAGGCAATTCGAAAAACAGACCCATGACTCCAGAGCAATCAGGAAACGAACATTTCTATATTGACCGATCAGTGAACATAGTGTCAGCACGAGGAAACGTGGGCTGAACGGTGGTGCATTGACATCAACCGATGAAACAATATAGATTTATACATAGAGGTTAAATAGTCTTAGCTTATAAAAATGACCGCCTTCATAAGTTCTTAACTTTGTGTGGCGAAAGCAGGGGAGCAAGTGGCTTCTAACAAAAGAAGCAACGGATAGCCGCACATAGTCTTAAAATTCGACCAAATGAATTCGCACTAAATGCCTTCAGCTTGTAAAGTCGACTCAAAAATTTGATTTGTTTTTCGCATGGTCTGAGAATACATCTCTCAAAAAAATCAAGGTGAAGAACTTTCAGGATTTTTCCTGGTAGAAGTTTAATCTAAGATATTTAGTTTTCGTTTGAATGTTTCATAATTGTTTGTTGGCTATTAGCTTCATTCCCAAAGGAGTGATAACTGGAGAAATTTTATTGGGCACTGCTCGGTGGATCAGCTGATTCGCAGATATCACCTGACTTGCAGTGTGCTGAAAGACATCCATATATTAACGCACTCTCAGTTAGCTTTCAACAAGGTTCGTAGAACGCCTTATCCTGCATCTGTTGGCAATAAGCGCTCCAAAACCCCATCCAGGTATGCTATTAGGACAAATTGTTTCTTTGTTAGTTGGTACTCCAACCGTTTTCAGTCGAAAAATGAAAACAATCTTAACTCAGGGATAGCACCCTCAAAATAACGGGACAATGAAATTTTTCGCTGAACTGTTTGGTGCACACGTTTCCCAACAGAAAACAGCGAGCGGTGACTTATGATTTTTATTAACGTTCAAATCTATATTGGATAGCTGTTGGACAGCTATTTGTCTGAGTGTATACTGATGCGAACTTCGATCCCGTGTGCATCAAAATTAATAACTGTGGTACACGCTGAGAAATTTCCTCCGCAATGTGAGTTGGTTGGGAAAAATGTCTAGACACAGGGAATAAACTCAACCATGTGATAACAGTACATGATTTGTAAGAGTAACCGGTTTTTTCTAATAATCCATTTTTAAATCACAAAAGAATATATTTATATCCTTGCCCGTATGTTTGAGCACAGTCGGAAACTGATTCCCATGTGGATGG